GGACAGAATCCGGCGCCCCGACTGGGACTAGAACCCGGTGTGCCGGTGCCGCAGGCGGAGGATTAGCCTAGTGAGCCGCGGCGCCGGCCGCCAAGATTTCTTGAAGTGATATTAGATTATTTTTACATCTGCTGAGATAGAGAAGAGCTCTGTATAGAATTTATGAAAGAATTTTTTATGTATAGAGAACAAACATCCACAGTGGGAACTTAGCAGTTAGTGTTTGCCTTGGTATACTTAGTCAACACCAAGATAATTATCCAAATTGACTATTTTATTTATTTATTTATTTATTTATTTGACAGGTAGAGTTATAGACAGTGAGTGTGAGAGAGAAAGAAATGTCTTCCTTCCGTTGGTTCACTCTCCAAATGGCCAACACAGCTGGAGCTGTGCCAATCCAAAGCCAGGAGCTAGGTGCTTCTTCCTGGTCTCCCAGGCGGGTGCAGGGGCCCAAGCACTTGGGCCATCCTCCACTGCCCTCCCGGACCACAGCAGAGAGCTGGACTGGAAGAGGAGCAACTGGGACAGAATCCGGCGCCCTGACCGGGACTAGAACCCAGCGTGCCAGCGCCACAGGCAGAGAATTAACCTAATGAGCCACGGCACTGGCCTGTTAACACTATTAATAATGGTTTTCATTTGACTCTGGGTTTTTAGAGTAGCTCTTTAATGTGAATCCCAAAAAAAAAAAAAAAACAAGTAATCAAGTAATTTACTGTAAAATTCCTCCCAAGAGTAAATAGAGCAAATATTGGCATTAGATTTCTTATAGTAGAACTAAACTAGTAGTCTATCTGTAATAAACTTTTACTTTATCTAAATAGAATGTTTCATTTTACGTTAGTATCGTTTTATTTTTAAAGATTTATTTATTTATTTGAAAGTCATAGTTACAGAGAGAGAGGGAGAGACATGAGAAAGAGATATTTGATCCATTGGTTCACTCCACAAGTGGCCACAATAGCCTGGGCTGGGTCAGGCTTAAGCCAGGAGCTTCGTTTGGGTCTTCCAAGTGGGTGGCAGGGTCCCAATTTCTTGGGCCATCATCTGCTGCTTTCCCAGGCACATTATCAGGGAATTGGATCAGAAGTAGAACAGCTAGGACACGAATCAGCGCCCATATAGGATGCTGGAGTCACAGGCAGCAGGTTTACTTGCTGTACTACAATGCCTGTTCCTGTCAGTGTTGTTTAAATGCTTTCTAGTAAGCATCTTCACCAAAAATTCAATTGAGGTCTAAATTTCTCTGACTAGAATTCTTAAATTTCTGTGATTAGTTGTTGAATTAATTGCAAGGAATTATGATAGGGAAATAATTGAAGAATTGTATCTATGATGAATTTTCTTCCTGTCTATTTCATAATTGGGTAATAATCCTAATGATTTTGTTTTTGTATAGGAGTCTCCAAGTTTTTTCATAATGGGTTGTGCTTAAGAAAAGATGCTGTTGCTGCCAGTATTCAGAAGATTGAGAAAATTCTTCAGTGGTTTGAAAGCCAGAAGCAGCTTAACTTTTATGCAAGTTCATTACTGTTTGTTTATGAAGGTTCATCTCAGATAGCCACTACAAAATCGAATGACAGAACTTTGGCAGAAAAGTTTTTGTCCAAAGGACAACTGTCAGATACCGAAGTACTGGAGTACAACAATAACTTTCATGTGTTAAGTTCCCCAGTGAATGGAAGAATAGAGGCTTCTGTAGGCAAAAGCTTATCCAAGATATATGCTCGACACAGAAAAATGTATTCAAAAAAGCATCACAGTCAGACTTCCTTGAAAGTTGAAAATATAGAGCAAGACAATGGGTGGAAAAGCACGTCACAGGAGCATTTAAACGGAAATGTACTTTCCCAACTGGAAAAAGTTTTCTACCATCTTCCCACTGGTTGCCAAGAGATTGCAGAAGTAGAAGTGCGAATGATAGATTTTGCTCATGTGTTTCCTAGCAACGCAATAGATGAGGGATATGTTTATGGGCTAAAGCATTTAATCACTGTACTTCGAAGTGTTTTAGACAATTGACTCCTTTGCTGCAGTCTTTTTAAGGGGTGGGTTGATCACAATGAAGAGCAGCAGTTGTTATAGCTGCCCCTCTAATGCTGTGTAAAAAGTTTGTATTGTGTGTTGACATTTTATTTGTCTTTATACTTTTGGTAGAAAGGTTAACTTTTTTATAATCTTACTCAGGAAAACTAATTTGTTCATTAGAAAACTATGAAGAAAAAGACACTTAGAAGTGAAGTGTTCAGCAGGGAATGTGGTGGTACATGGCATAAACACCTTTTTGGCTCAAGCAAAATGGAAATCATTCTTTAGTCATTAAGAGTTTATTTCGCTTTCTGTAGCCAATTTATCATGAAGTCTCTGTCCACCCACCTTGACAGTGAGCCATATCTAAACTGCTATGTTATTACTATACCTACTAAAATCTAGAAAGCACAGATTGATATCATTAGTATTGCTATGTATAAAGTGATTAAAACTGGAGAAAATTGCTTCAGAACTAAGTACTCATTAGGTTTTACATTAAAAGTCAGAACAGCGTATCAAAAGGTGCTTCATAGTGAAATTACTTAAAATTGTTGCATTCCAAAAGCAGATTTTCCATTTAATTTCCATTTGTAGATATCTTACAAAATATCATACTTAATAAAGAAGATAACCGAAATGCACAACAACAACAACAAAAATCTTCAAATTAAGAATGCTAAATATTCTTACTGGGATTAAGAAGAGAAAGATTATTTATAAGGAGCAAAATATTTTCTTAGAAATCTTTGATCTATGGGAAAATTAGAATCTACATTTACTACATTGTGAAAAGTAGAGTTTACCATAGAATACCTTTTTCTGTAACTGCAGCATCAAAAAGCTGACTGATTGAAGCCTTGTTTTATTTCTCCTTTAAGTGACATTTTGAGATTTTTCTTTAAAACTTTATACTTGTCTCTATTTAGTTCATCAGTAATATGAAAATTTTGTTGTTTAAAATAGTGTTTCTCAGAATTCCTGTTAGACAATGAAAGACAATATCCAATCTTGAGTTAACAAAATTAGTGCATCACACAGGGTTTGGTGTGTATTGAGATGCATGTTTCTATTTCTCAAAAACAGTTTTCTGTCATATTCAGCAGAGTTACTATAATTCTTTGGTGGACAGGGACAAAGCTACATTTCCTGGAAACATGGATTTGTAAGGATTTAGCTATGTTTCATACTCACCACTTTTCACAGGCTAACTAGTTGTTTGCCATGAAAACATATAAAACTTCATACTTAAACCTGTGAATATGTTTGTCAATTCTGCCATCCCCTACACTGTGATTCACTACTAACTCATTTAAGCAATCAACAGTCTTGCTCACCACAATCCTGGAATATGTTCTGGGCTTGTAAATTGTTATTTTCTCCTCCTTTTTCCCTTCAATTTACAAATTACACTTTAAATCTAAGCACTTTTTTTGTGTCCTGGAGGAAAGTATCACAATTTTATGTTTCTTTATTTTCCAACCGTTTTTGAGGGTACTTTTCAAATATTTGAAGCCAAATAAAAGTACCAAATGCTTTGTGAATTCCGTGCTTAGTAAATCTATTAAACTAAAATCACTTGAAAATTCATATGCATTTTGTTACAGCAAAATTTGATTTCTTTTAATTTTTTTATTTAGAATCAGTATAAGTATTTTTCATATGGACTTAATGGCCTTACTCTGCTGCCCAAATGGGTATTGGCTATAGATTTTTGTGGGATTGGATTTAAGTCATAATTAATACAAGTTTTTAGTTTTATTTTTTCCATTATGATATGGACTTTTGTTATTGTTTGGGTAGTGGTTCAATAAACCTTAAGCTAAATAATAAACACTATTTTCAATCTTAGAAGACAAGAGGCTTTTTTGTATGGGATGGTGTCAGCCTATGTACAATGAATTTAATAAACTGAAGTATTATCAGATTTTTTTGCACATTTTAGCTCAATAAAGTCTGAATCAACTGTTCCAGATTTTCTTTTATCTGTATTTGGAAATATAGTTTTGTAAAATCTGTGTCGTATCTTTTTGATACAATAGAGCATGTTTTGTTTAAATAAAACAAGCATTTCTATCTTTTGTTTTTCAGGGAAGGGATTAACATCTAATTCTTTTGTTTACATTTTTTATCACTGTTATCCAATGCTGATTTTATGTTATTTTATAAGTAAACTTACATGTAACAGAATAAGTATCTGTATCTAGTTCCTGTCAATTATGATTATGTTGAAATTTACCACTGTGGGGATAAATGATCACTATTCACCAAGTGTATTTTAAACGTGTAAACGTTTAAGAAATAAGTAAAGTAAGGATATCATTTGGGGTAATAGGATTATCATAGCTTTTTTGCCCTAGGAAACATAGTGATTTTAGTGTATTTCTATGGAATGCATTCATAAAAAAGACTTCTAAAGGAATGTGGCTGTGAATAAAACATTTCTCTAATAAAAACTTAAATTGTATAATAGTTTTATAATAAAGTATTTACAATACTTGATATTTTAATATCAATGGAAGTTGCATAGATTCAAATTAAAATCAATTATAAATGCTAATATTTTATCTAAATAGTTTTTCAAGAAACAGTTATGAAAATATGTATATTAAATGGCTCTACCATGGAGCTTGTGGTATTTCAACTCTATTCCTGATTCTTTGTTTGATGTGTCTGGGAAGATTGTACTTACTATGCCTCTTTACACTACAGTTTTGTTATTGAGGGGCTCTAGACTGTGTTCAGTTGAATAAGAATTTTTTCTGAATTTTGAATATAATACTTAATGATTTCCTAGGTATTTTTCTTTATATCATATCTATAAAGTCTAAATATCAAATTTATAACATCAGTTAAAAATATGTGTTTCATTTGCAAGTTTTTTTGCTTCATGCAGATGAAAACACATTTTTAAAAGATTTGGAATATTGGAAAAGACATAGGCTAAAAGAAAATGATAGGACAGTGAAAGGATTTTATATGTGAAATTATATAAATTGTGTCCACTACTTTAAAGCATTACCATTTTATCAGTTCTCTCTTAGCAATTTGGCTTTTTATACTTTTAAAACTTAATTTGCTTTAAAAAACTGTTTACAATGCTTTGTAATTATCCAGTGCCTTTAACCTTGATTTGATATATTTGTCACCTCAGTTATCCTTTCTATTGCATCCTATGTTTTCATAGCCTAGAAGTCATCAATTTTTTTTTAATTGTTGATGTGGTTATCTAAAGATATAACCATTACCTGTTAATACTTTGAAGAAACAGTAGGTTTGCCTTTGGAGGTCAACCTGCTTACTCTTAGTTCATTCAAAAATATTTATTGGATATAAACCCAGTGTGATGCATTTTTAGCTCACGAATGTACAGTTGTGATTTAATGAGTTAAGACTAACCTTTTCCAGCATTATGTCTAGATGGGATGATGTGGGACTTAGAGATGTAAGCAAATATGTATTTAAAGATAACTAGCATTTGAGTTTGTGTAAAAATAAGGGATAAATATCAAGTTGAGATGGAGCAACAGTATGTTAGGTTAGAAATAATATTTTGCAGCATTGTGACCTCTTTTAGACTTTTGAATTAGGGCAGTAGTTATATGTAATATAATGAAAGCCTTAATTTTTCACTTTTCTTGCTGGTAAAGGTACGTTTAATTAGACTGTCCATTTAGAGTAGTGTTGAACATAAGTACTGTGAAAAACATTCCATTACATATTCACAGGCAAACTAACTGCACTTTTTTTTAATTTCTCAATTTAATACAAATATATTAGGCCTCAAACTTATCTTCATCACTGGTATTTTAAATTGGCAATGAATATGAAATTACTTTTTGACTGACAGTACTGTTGCTTAAAATGCCTATTAATATTTTAGGAAGATTACATTCTCCATCTTTTTCAAGTTCTTATTAAGTTCATTCTGGTAGCCTCTGCAATTAAACAAATTGGGATGTACTTTCAATAATTTTTTTTTTTACTTTTAAAATTTTTGTCATGATTGGGGTTGAATTTTGGCCTGGTGTTCACTTGCAATATATAAACAGTTTAATTATGAGGTGAAATAGTCTTAAGTATGAAATGTGATGCACTTGCATATAAATGAAAATAGTGTGCACAAAGACACTTTACTATGGGAACTGTACTGGAAGATTTATGAAAGCATGTGAAATTGCACCTAAAATTGTGTTCTTAGTGACTATAAGCAGCAATGCTATGTTAATTGTACTTGATGAATGAATGTATTTAGTTACACTTTGGTTTAAATGTCTTAATGTCTTTTTATGTGTTTGTAATTTGTACTATTGATGTGGGGTATTCTTGGATTGCAGGGGTTATTGTCAATGTGATTTGTGTTTTTATTTTATAGAATCATCTAATGTGATATACCAATTTTTATAAGTGATATTTAGATAATTCTAATAACTGTATATTTGACATCCTATTAAAATGTTTTGCATTGGAACCTTTTTTTCCCATTAATTGTAACATGCCAGCACATGCCTTGTAGTTTGAAAATTACTCATTCATTTAACAGGTCTGGACCAGAGCCTATAGGAGTCATTCTGGATGCACAGATGAGATAGGGTATATACACATGGGAAATGACAAATCATGGAAACTACAATGTATGACCTAAAATCTTTGGAATCTACCTAGAGTAGAAGTGCACCCAAGAAGAAATAAATTAAGTAAAATATATATTCTGTAGTTTTAAAACCTAAGAAGTAGATAAGACAGTTTTGCATGTGTTTGAATTGAATCAGCAACCAGATTATTATTTTCATTCATTAGTTTGCAAAGGACTCTGTCAGATATCTGCACAGCACTTGTTTACCTTTGGGGATTTTGAAGAGTTTAATAAGATTCAGTACTTGTTTTCAAGATATGTGCTGGTAAGAAAAAAGGTAAAAGTGGGACAAGAAGCTACTCAGTGGTGATTCATAGCTCTCAATATCCAGCAGAGTTGTGTGTTAGAGGAGTCAGTTTTAATATCAAGAGGCAGAAAGAGCTGTGTGATTCACAGCATCAAAGCCACTTAAGTCAGTGCTCCGGAAGGTTTATTGAGTTTAGCCTTTACACCTGCTGCCTTGTCTACTTTGGAGAGGAGTGATCTGGGTGAAGTAGTTTCTCCTTTGTTCTGGTGAAGACTGCTACCGAACTCCTGTGTTTCAGTCCTTAAGTTAAAGTATAAAGACTCAAAGTTGAAATCAAAGTAAAAATAATTAGAATAAAAGTCATTTGGACATTACAAATGAAGGCTTAAAAATAGGCCTCGGAAGGGCTTGTGATGCTGCTGGTCTGTGGACCACACTGAGGACCAAGATGTGCACAAAGTTCCTTGAGTGTGTGGTATATAGTAGAGTTTGGAGGACTTAGAGCAGAGATGCAACCAGAATTGGTAGAGCTAAGAGTGCTAGCAACAGAAAGAAATGGGTTTAGGATGTGAGAGAATATAGCCAGCAATGGGTCAAGGTATTACTGGCCATTCTCTGTTGGTTAGAGTTCATTAGCTGTGTTAGGACTTTAAACTACCACCTGTGAGAAGTTTGGGGCGTATAATAATGGACATCATTTTTATATTACTCATGACATAGTTAATCTGTGTGAATGGCGACTGCTGTACCAAATGAAGAAAATGTTCTGCATATGCTTATGAGCTATGTGGTATGGACCATCTGACAACATTCTTGGAATGCTTTGGGCATAAGTGGTAAAATTGATTTAGGGCCGTCAACTGTGTTTCTAAGAGATAAGTTTAGAAACTCTTTGTAGTTATTATCGATATAATTTGATAAAGCACCTCAAGATTGTTGACAAAAAAAAGTGGACAGAGTTGTGTTTATTGGGGAAGGAATTGCTGTTCAGGTCCACTGAATCTGGGAAGGCAAATGCAGGAGAAGTTTTAATAGAGGATTTCCACAGAAAGATTTTGGAGACAATTCATTTCTCTTTGTCCCCCATATCTATCTACTTTCTCTCTCTCTCTCTCTCTCTCTCTCTCTCTCTCTCTGTGTGTGTGTGTGTGTGTGTGTGTGTGGTTATGGCAACTATTTATTTTGTCCCACCCAGATCCAGTGCAGGCTTTTTTCCCAGGAGATTGCCCTCTCTGGGCATTTTCCAGAGAGGGGCAGAGTGGACAGTGAGAGAGAAAGAGAAAAAGGTCTTCTTTTGCCGTTGGTTTACCCTCCAATGGCCGCTGGGGCCGGAGCGCTGCGGCTGGCGCACCATGCTTATCCGATGGCAGGAGCCAGGTACTTATCCTGGTCTCCCATGGAGTGCAGGGCCCAAGCACTTGGGCCATCCTCCACTGCACTCCCTGGCCACAGCAGAGAGCTGGCCTGGAAGAGGGGCAACTGGGACAGAATCTGGCGCCCCGACTGGTACTAGAACCTGGTGTGCTGGCGCCGCAAGGTGGAGGATTAGCCTAGTGAGCTGCGGCGCTGGCTCCAGTGCAGTGATCTTAACCATTGCATTGTTCATCATATTTATATCCTTGTTTTAGTCCTTACACAACTTGTATTCAAAAGTCCTTTGCTGCAGCCATCCTCATACACAGAGCTACAAACCCGCATCTGTGTCCATCGTATTCACCTGGAAAACTTAAACCTGATTTTATTTGATTTTCTATCAACTTATCTGTACCTTAGAGCCGAAAATGTTTAGAGAAAAATATAGCCATCCTATTAATATCACTTGTAATTTATGACTTCAAACTCTTAAGTGGTTCTCAGTACTGTCAAGGTAATCTGACTACACTTCCCAATTCAATTCAATCCATCACTGAGATTGGTTTTACCGTGCCTCATCTCATTTTCTCTTAGTCCATGATTTTAGTGTTTCATTAAGAAGATGATACCAATCAAAAGAACTTTTCCATCATCTAATCCTCAAAGCTACCTGTATATCTCCTTCTAGATCCATATATTTTTTTCTTCCCTAAAATGGATGAGTGCTGCCAATTTAAGTCAACTCTTCAGTTGCCCTTAGATTCAATATTAAACACACACACACATACACACAAATCAGTGGTGCAGTTACATGTCCTCTCTCCTGCAACTTGAATTTGTCCCTTTCTATTGTATCATTCCCATCACTATCCTTGTAAGACTTCCCATACTTATAAAACCCCCACAGAAGTATCTTTTGTTGACTTTCTCTTTCCTCAGCATATACTACACCATTTCTTTGCTCCTTTTTCATGAAGATTTATTTCCACTTCTATTCTCTGTCAACTCATTCCAATCAGGCTTTCATACTCCCACTCCTACCACTTCTATTAATAGAAACAGTTCTTGTCAAGATCACCAATGATGGTTATATTAGGAAATTTGTAGGCAAATTCTGACCACTCCTTTTATACAACATGGTGAGTCTTTGACACAATTGGATCAAGCCCTCCTGTATAAATTTCTTTCTTCATATGTCCTTGTTGATAACTCATTTTCCTTTTTGTCTGCAGCGTCTGCCTTCTCAGTCTCTTACTGTATCCTGCTTTTCCTTCACGAAGCTTTGAGTCCTAGTATACTTAGAAGATCAGTCCTCTCTTTGATGCGACAGGTCAGGTTCTCAAACCCAATTAGCCTTAATAACCTTTAATTAAACATTTAATATATATTTATATAGGATATATATAACAAATATAAAACAAATATTTAAATATCAAATATATTTAATAATCAATGTGTTATATACCATATTTGCTATCTTAAACTTGTAGGTAATATAGTCTCTTCATATGTAAAGTTTAAAAATCAGCAAAGCACTGATGAAAAGTCATGAATTTAATAGGCAATATATACTGTATTTATGGATTGGAAGATTCCAATGACCAAAATGACCTATAGATTTTAACACAATCCTAATTAAAATTCTAGTGGATTTTTTACAAAGGGCTTATTTATTTGAAAGAGAAGGAGATCTTCCATCTACTGGTTCATTCCTCAAAAAGCAACAATAGAACTGGGCCAGGCCAAAGGCAGGATCCAGGAGCTTCCTCCAGGTCTCACATGGGCCATCTTCTGTTGTTTTCCCATGCATGCTAGCAGGGAGCTGGACCGGAAGTGGAGCAGCCAGATCCTGTACAGGATGCTGATATTGCAGGCAGTGGGTTAATTCACTACACCACAATGCTTGCCCCAGATTTTTTTTTTTCCTTTAGAAATCAACAATCTGGTTCTAAAATCTGTATGGAAAGGCAAAAATAAGTAGAATAGTCAAAACTATTTTAAGAATGAAGTTGTAGGACTCAAACCACAAGATTCCAAGACTGACTACAAAGCTAAAGTAAATTTGGGGTGCTGGAATCGTACGTGCAGCAGGTTAGGCCATTGCTTGTGGAGACAACAGCCCATACTGGAATGCTGTTTCAAGTTTCGTCAGTCCTGTTTCTGGTCTGGCTTCCTGCTATAATGCCCTTGGGAAAGCAGCAGATGATAGGCCAAGTGCTTGGCCCCTACTACCCATGTGTGAGACCCAGATGGTGTTCTGGACTCCTGGCTTCAGCCTGACCCAGAGAATGGAAATTCTCTCTCTCTTTCACTCACTCTCTCTCTGTGCCACTCTGCCATTTCAAATAAATATAAATCTCTTAATAACATTGTGGTATTGTAGAATAGACAGATACATAGATACATGGAAAAGAATAGATTGTTCAGGAGTAGACCCAAACAGATAAAATCAATTTTAACACTTTTATTATGTAACTGATATACTATAACCTGCACACATTTAAAATGCACAATTTGATAAGTTTTATTATTTGCACATACCCTTGAAATCATCACCATAATACACAAAAGTGAACATACAAGTCAACTATAAAAATTCTTGTGTGACCCTTGGTAATCCCATACTCTAGCCCTTCATCCAGGTTTCTCATGTGGGTTGCAGGAACCGGATTATTTGAGCCATCACTGTTGCCTCCTAGGGTCTGCATTAACTTGAAGTTGCAATCAAGAGGGGAGCCAGGTATTAAGCCTAGACACTCCACTGTGGGACCAGGAGTGTCCTAACTGGCATGGGAACTGCTAGGCCAGGCACTGTCCCTGGGCTGAGTATTTTGAACTAAAGGACATTGAAGGGGCCTCAGAAGCAAAGTCCCTTTGTGATTTTCTCTGGTCCTTTTATTCCCCAAGAAAACAAGACAGGCCTTAGAAACCAGAATTCCCTTTCCCTAAGGTGGGTCCTAGAAATTAGAACAGCTTTCTCACAAAATAAGCCCTAAACTCTCGCAATATAACTCCGACCTGGCTATAATCTTTGACCATTCTTGTATCCAGAGGCAGGACTTCTTTTGCAACACAGAGGCCAAAAATCTAAATCAATAGGCTTTGCCGCCCTGGTCTCCCAGCCCTCACCAGTGGCTCCCCTCCCCCAAATCTGCTACTCTTTTATTCCAATCACATTTCTGGGGTTTTGTGCGTGTGTGTGTGTGTGTGTGTGTGTGTGTGTTTCACAGTTTAT